AACTCCCAGAATTCCTGAGCCAGACATGGTAACTATGGCCTCTTTATGACTTAGGGATTTCAATTCCCAGAATTCCTGAGCCAGACATGGTAACTATCGCCTCTTTATGACTTAGGGACTTCAATTCCCAGAATTCCTGAGGCAGCCATGCTAGTTATGGCCCCTTTATGACATCTGGACTCCAACTCCCAGAATTCCTGAGCCAGACATGGTAACTATCGCCTCTTTATGACTTAGGGACTTCAATTCCCAGAATTCCTGAGGCAGCCATGCTAGTTATGGCCCCTTTATGACATCTGGACTCCAACTCCCAGAATTCCTGAGCCAGACATGGTAACTATCGCCTCTTTATCACTTAGGGACTTCAATTCCCAGAATTCCTGAGGCAGCCATGCTATCTATGTCCCCTTTATGACTTGTGGACTCCAACTCCCAGAATTCCTGAGCCAGACATGGTAACTATGGCCCCTTTATCACTTAGGGACTTCAATTCCCAGAATTCCTGAGGCAGCCATGCTATCTATGTCCCCTTTATGACTTGTGGACTCCAACTCCCAGAATTCCTGAGGCAGCTTTGCTTCACAACTTCCTCTTTCCTGGGACTTAACTGACTTATCTCCTTCTTTAACCGTCCTATCTCTCTTCCCCTTCCCAAAGTCAACTCTGTGTTCCTTCCCATCCATGGACAGGACATCCAGTCATCCCAGAAGACCTTTGGAGACCCCCTCAATGGGCTCTCCAAGCCAATGGACCCATCTGACCTCCTCCATCTCCCCAACTTCTTAGGAGACTTCTGGTTGGAGTGGTGAGGATAGAGGAGAAGACGAGGTTCCTCCACTCAGATGCTCTTCGGTCTTGGAGAGGGCTGAATGGGAACCCACCTGAGATGCCACCACCACCCAAGTGGAGAAGGACTAGCAATCCTTTCCAGACCAGAAGCTTTGAGGCCACAGAGAACCTGAGAAGTTCCCCGTTGGTGGCTCCAACCCAGAACCTCAGAAGGACATCTCCACCTTCCATTGGTGGATCAGCTCTGGGTCTAAGGACCAGAAGAAGACTGGAGGCAGCAGCCTCGAGCAGCTGAGGCCCAAAGAGCCAAGCTTCAAGGTGGGCTCTTCCCAGCCAATCCCTTCCTCAGAGGTGAGAAGAAGGAGGCAGCTCACCTTCCTCCAGTCAATCACATCCTTGAGTTTCCGGAAGAGAAAAATGCCTCTGCCTTGAGATCGGGCAACCTGCGGGAGGCGAAGGAGAGGGTCACTCTCTTTCTTGGGAGATCTGGACCTCCCCTGGCATCCTGAGGTTACCCTTTCCTCGGGATTGCCATCAACCCTGCCAGGTAAGCCAAGCATGACCAGGTGGGAACACAAGTGAGCTCAAAATATCTGTGGCTGAACGTAGATAGGACGGGGCAGGACAAGGGGTAGGATAGGGAATGGAATGGAATGGAATTGAAGAATAGAATAGAACAGAACAGAAAATGTGGGACAGGGCAGGACAAGGAATGGGATAGGATAGGATAGAAATAGAGTAGAGTAGAGTAGAATAGAGTAAAATATGGAGTAGAATTAAAAATGATAATAGGATAGGATAGGACAGAATAGAACAGAACAGAAAATGTGGGACAGGACAGGACAAGGAATGGGATAGGATAGGACAGAAATAGAGTAGAGTAGAGTAGAGTAGAGTAGAGTAGAGTAGAGTAGAGTAGAGTAGAGTAAAATATGGAATAGAATTAAGAATGAGAATAGAATAGAACAGAACAGAAAATGTGGGACAGGACAGGACAAGGAATGGGATAGGATAGGACAGAAATAGAGTAGAGTAGAGTAGAGTAGAGTATGGAATAGAATTAAGAATGAGAATAGAATAGAACAGAACAGAAAATGTGGGACAGGACAGGACAAGGAATGGGATAGGATAGGATTCTGCGCATGGGTAGAAGCAAGAAACAAGATGCCTATAGCACTGCCAAGAGAACCAGTTTGGGGGCAGGGCAGGCCAAGTTACTACTACCTACTCGT